GGACTAGTGGTTACCAGAGGGTAGGGGTAGAGGAGGAGGGAAGAAATAGACGGGGTTAAGGGGGTCAAATATAGCGGGGTTGGTGGTGGGTGAAGTGGGTAAAAGGGATCAAATATATAGTAGCTGAAGGAAACTGGACTCTGGGTGGTAATCACACAATAGAATATACAGATGTCAAATTATAATGTACACCTGAAAATTATATAATTGTATTAACCAATGTTACCCTAATAAACTTAAAAAAAGTTTCAGAGATTAAATTATATCTCTCTTTTTTTCAGATTTCATATCTTTAACATACCAGAAGAAATTAGAAATGGTTTGCCTCCTTTGAAATAAGGACAAAATTCAAACATTATTACGTATTCTAGGGTGAAGTTGTGCCTTAGTCAGGAATTGATGATCAAAGGGAGTTGCACATTGCTATTTCTGTTTTTTTGTTGTTGTTTTTTTTTGGTTTTTTTGGCCATCATCCCCTCTATATTCCTAGCCCAACCTCCATGATATTCTTTTGTTTGTTTTTTTTCATAGGGCCCACCTGGTCAAAAGGGGGATCAAGGAGCCACGGAGATTATAGACTATAATGGCAACCTCCATGAAGCCTTGCAGGCAAGTAACTGCAAACGACAGTGACACTGATGAGCACCATGTAATGTGTGTAAATATCAGCTTCCACACGCCTTAGATCCCAGAGGGCTCCACTGCTCAAAGTACACGCTCTCCCTCTACTGAACCCATCCCCTTCTTTCTGCCCCAGTTTATCCTCTTTACTTCCTAGCATTTTTCAATCTTCCTATCTTCTTTTTCCCTTCTACCTTCAGATCTGCTTAAATCTTACCTGGTTTAAACCTTGTGTTAATTTCACCAGTCTTGGTCTCTTTGCATGAAAAATGAGCCTAGCAAAGCAGTAAAGAACCTTATGGCTCTGGAGTTGAAGCTGCCTGAGTTCATATCTCAGCTCTCTTGCTTGCTAAGTGCATGACCTAGGGCAAGTTATATATTTCTCTGTGCTTCAGTTTTCTCGTTTGTACAATGAGGACAATCATAATAACTACTTCACAGGGTTGTTTTGAGCAATGGCTAAATGCCTGACATATGATAGATCCTCTTTAAGTGTTTTTTGTTGTTGTTGTTGTTGTTGTTGTTTATTACTGCTACTATTCAATTCTTTTTCTTCCATTAAGTAAAAACCATAGACTGTTTGCCTTGTCTCCATCACCTTTGCTTCCTATTCACCCTTTTCGTGCTTAGACTCCTGTATTCTAACCTGTATCATCATTCTTCTGTAACTTACCTTGTAAAGGTCAATAATAACTTCTATGTCAAGCCCGTTGTACTTATCACCCTTGACATTTCCATAACGTTTATACTAAACTGCCTTCCTTTTGAAACTTTTTCTGTCTGGTGTCTCGGATCCTTTACTCTTCCAATGTTCTTTGCTGATGGATCCACCCTATTTTAGTATTTCCAGTTTTTTCGTCCAGTCCCTAATTTTTGGTATCCTCAAATCTCTGTTCTTTTCTTGGTACAATGACTCCTCGTTCTACCATGTTATAGCTGCTTCCAAATCTTTCGTTGCCAGGTCTGACTTGCAGATACCCCCAGTTGTCTAGGAATATTTCCACTATGGATGCACCATTGCTTTATCAGTTTCCACGAATACACACAATTAAACTGGTTACCTTTGCCACCAGCAAATGTTTCCCTTTCTTAACAATCTATATTCTGTTAATGCTACCATAATAAGTCTTTGATTTTCTTGTGATAGAAACTTGAGAGTTATTTTTAAACTATTCTTCCTCCTTCATTCATTATATTTCACCAGATGCTCCTGTTTCCTTTTTTAAAGTGTCTTTTGAGGTTGCTCCCATTCTATCCATCCCAGCGAGGTCCACATGGTGTTTCTCTCAGATCTAACACTGCAATAAGTCCTCAGCCGATTCCTCTGCCCTAGTGCTTCCCTGCCCTTCTATTTTTATATTTAAATATTTGTTATATTTTATTTTTATATTTAAATGTTTATTATATTTTACTAATTATCACTATTTTGATGGCTTCAATCCCTTAAGAAACTTAAATGGACCCTCTCACCTACTCTATCAAGCTCAGACTTCTCTGTCTGACTTTCAAGGCTCTATAATCCTGCCTTTCCTGTACAGAATTTTCTATTTCTCCACAGCACACATTTTCCCCCAAAGTGATCATATTTATCATATCCATAAAAATCCCCCTCTTTTTGCCTGGTTCATCCCATTTTTCTTTCTTTTATCCATCTAAATCTTCTCCAACGATCCACTGCCACCACTCAGGTGAGTTCCTCCTCTTAATTCTTTTAAACATCAGCAATCAGGCCCCAGTGGTTTAACATTTAATTTTTCTCAAATCGAATAATTTATTTCACTCTTGCCACTTACCAGACCACAATTTACTTGGTGATAGGAAACATGTCTTATGCTTACTCTGTATTCCCCAACATGCCAGACACAGGTCTGGATGTAAATAGTAAATAAACTGCTCTTGGTTGAATGAATGAAATATACGTAGCTCATATGTACAGTCTATTTGTTTGCTCGAAAGCCAAATCAGTTGTTTTAAATATTTACTATTATTCACTTGTTTGCTTGTTATTTTCCGTCCTCATGACTTCACTAATATTCTCTAATTATGGGCGACTTATATTTCTATGGGTCCTTTGCTACAACTACCATTTTTAACTAGTAAAGCATTAAATAGTTTTTACAGAATCTGTCTTCAGCTCAACCTACTTTTCTGTTCTTTTCATTCTTTTTCTTCTGGAAAATGCAAAGAGAAGCATGCTTACTGCTTGGAGAAATGCTACTGGGGCAGAATGTTCAGTCAAAAGCTTGAATTGGTGTCCTCAGTCCAAGTGGATACACACAAGTAGTAGTAGCTGCTGGGCTATTGTGAAGTTCTAGAATCAGTTTTCTAAGTTGTTCCCTTTTCCCAAAAGTTGATAATGGAATGTATAAAGGAACAGAACAAGACATTTAGGTGTACCTACTATGTTTTCAGAGTTCTTACTTTTAAAATATAGGGACACACTTTTTAAACTTAATTTATTAGCAATGTTGTAAATTTCCCTTAAACTGCTTGCAATGTCGCCATAATGCTACTCCATCTTTAAGAGGTATCCATTCTCTTACCTTCCAAAAACTACTCCAATTATTGGCTATTTTCTGCAAAATTATGAGAGTCCTTTTAAAGCATCCTGTCCATGAATAGGACCTGGCATGGAGCAAGCTACCCTTAGCCTAAAACTGAAATCTCTGTTTTGATTTCCCTTTTGCTACTAACTAGCTAAGTCATTTTGGGGAAGTCACTTAACGTATCTATACTTCATTGATCTTATTTGTAAAATGAAGATGTTTTTGGAATAGATTTTTTTCTAAGAGCCTATAAATCTAATACTATGGTTAGGATTATTTCTCAGGAGCTCCTGAACACTCTGCTAAACACACTGTACTTTATTAAAATTCTGACACCTGCGTCTTGGTATGAAAGAAATTTGTGCTCATTTTCTTTTTTTCACCTTGAATTCTATATGACTGTAAACAAGTTAATATCCATCATAATCAACTAATTCATGGTTTATATCTCAGCCTAAAGGTTTTCTCTTCTTATGGGCTTGTTAGGACAATTATGTGTTGCACTAGTAAATAGCTTATAGTTTTGTTTTGTTTTTTACTTCAAAACTATTTGTTTTCCTAGTATAGTACTCTAGTGGATTAAGAATCCCTAATAAAGTGAACTAAATTAAATAGCCATCAGATCGAGAAGTTGTAGATATTTATTTTCCTAATTCTCTAACCAGTGATGGATTTTCACAGTTTTGCTGATTTCATTTTACTATTGCCTCCTCTAAAAAAAACTGACAATCAGATAAATAAGAGTATATTACAGTTATGAAAATATCACATTAGAAATATAAGATTTTACTGTTGCCTGTATTGAAAATTATTATTTACATGAACATTTGCCATAAGCCATTTATTTTGACTTTTATTTAAGGTGGTTACATTTCCACAACTATCAATAACATCCATTTCCTAGCTCAAGCTTTTAAAATTCCTCACCACCATTTAAACTAAACCTGTTCCCTAGTGTAAATCATGGGTGATTTTAAGCTTGCATCTTTATGAGAAATGAAAGAAAATAACCTTTAATTCTAAAGAGACTCACATAAGCATCTCAGGGAATAAATCACGAAGCAGCCCGCCAGCCTTCACCCAGTTTACAGTCTCTCTAGCTCATGCCTCCCATTTCACACCATGCCTCCCTAGAGACTGGCATGCCTTTCTTCATCACTACCAAGAATTCTGGTTTTCAAATCATTTCTGAACTTCAAGTGAGAATCCTGTCGAGTCTATGTAGCTTTAACTTAGAGGAACCAGAATCAAGAAGTCCAAGGTAAGCAAATAATCTTAGGACTTCTCTGTGTGTCTGCACACTAGTGATTTAGGATAGTAGTAAAAACTCTGTTTTTGAGAAATTAGCTTAGTTTTCTGTCATTTGTTCTTCTATTAACTGGATGGAACCTGCCCTGTATAATTTTTAGGTCTCACAAATATAATTATTTAACAAGATCATTTAAATGCATATGCACCTCATTATAAAACGTTGTTATCTTTAAATTTTTAAAAAAAATAAACTAGTTTTGTGTTTAGGTGGAAAATGAATCATATATGGCTCACATTGGAAAACCTCTGAGGGTTCACATTTTAAATTTCCTTCCCTTTCTAAGGTTTTATGATTCTGCTTTCTAGTTAAAATTGTAATATGTAATTGGAAGGCAATGATAAAGAAATTATTTCTACTCTATAATTTTCTAACAGCCTTTAAAAAATGACTAATTTGCCTATAGGAACAAAAAAGTAGCTTTCTCATAACCATAAATCCAACTCTTGCTTTAGGTGAATCCCATAAGAATAAAGTAGTGTCTTATGTTACACAGACATGATGATATAAAAATCTGGGTTTTGATTTTTTTATAGCCTTGCCCCAGTTTGTGGTCAATTTGCCTTTATCTGAGAAGCACTGGTTGATTTTCTCCTATTAAGTTTTTTCTGAAGCTGTAATGACTATAACTGATTTTATCATAGAGTACAAAGTTGAACCATTTGTACACATGCATAAATAAATGTATTGTTTTTTTAAGGAATAATAGCATCATGTCACTAGAGACTCAATTAAGTGTTTGAAATAAGATAGATAACGTTAAGATTATTTTTTACAACAACAATAATAAAAAATGGCAACAACAACCCAGATTGGAAATGGAAATAGAGTAGTGGAAAACAAAGAGATGGTGTTAAACCAGTATTCACAGTAATTGGATGATGTTTCTCTGTGACCGGAGTCCCTAATGGAGAATGATTGCATAAAGTGTAAGATAAGACTTAGACTGGAAAGTAATACAAAAACAATTCATGGATTAGAGATCGAGTATTTTGGAGATTTATACTTTGAGAGAATGTATTTTGTTACAGTACTCTAGCACTTTATATTAAGAAACTAGATGAATCTCGTGTCAGCTCTTATCTTTGAGCATGGTATGCACCCACCCATCCCCACACACACAAGATTATTATAGTGCAACAGATGAGGTTCAGACTAAAAGAGAAAAAAAATTGTCACTTATAAATAAGATAGTTCTGTTTTCTCTAATTGAATAGAGCGCTTATGAATGATGAAGTTTCTCAGGTCACAGTTACACTGACAAACCTCTAGTGTATATATTATTTCACTACATAATTTTTTTAATCAGATAAATTAAAATTTTGACATTTTATTTTTTCTTTATCCATAGATTGTTAAAATGAAATTCTAAAAGTAATTTTAAAAGAATCTTTACAACATATCATATTCCTTTGAAGATAGGATAATATGCTCTCAGTATCTTATTAATTCCTTATAAGACATCGGTCTTGCCAAGACATATTTAAAAAGTTGGTGATTTCAGAAATGTGTTATTGTACTTTGGCACACAAAATAGGTAACTCTGTCTTTATCAATACATTTTCCCAACAGAGGATTACCACCTTAACTGTTACGGTAACTCCTATTGCATGATTTCTGTAGTTTGTGACTTTGTATTTGGTGTTGATGCATGCTGCTCATAATGGTACTAATGTAGCAATTGGTTTTATCTGTTATTTAGCTTTGTTTTCTTATACTAATAACCTTTTACAATATTTGCCCCAGATGAATTATTTTTACTTCGTGAAAAAGCCAAAAAAAAAAAAAAAGAAGTATTTTTCTTGCAAGTCTTTAGTCTTATCTTAATAATATATCTTTGTTCTTTAGTGTTTGGAAATCAAAGTCTTTTGGTGGGGAGGGGAGAAATGTGTCTAGAAACACAGATAATATTAGTAAGCTAATTCAACCCCAAAAGATGAATGTGGGACAAAGCAGCAATATTACATTGTCTTACAAATCAACCCAAAAGTATCTTCGGTATTATTTTGGCCTACATGTTTGTTGATTTTTTTTTCATGTAAGCACGTAGTTTTTATAATTCTGTAACTAGTGAAATTTTTCCTCGTTGCAAATCAATATTGGGGGATATTTGATTATGATAGAAATTAGGAAGATGTATAGTGTACTTAAAGCATAAAATTTAATACATACACTTGGTTACTTTTTATAACTTTGTCTTTTCTGGATTTAGGGTCCCCCTGGACCACCAGGACCTCAAGGACTACAAGGGCCAAAGGTTATTCTTCATTTTACTCATTTCCATTTACCACATATAATGTAGAGAATCCCATATTAAATAAATGTGTCTTTGAAAATCAGTCTTATGAAATACCAGTGAAGCTGAGATCAGCAATCTTGCTTAAAGAGCTAAGAATAGAAAATGAGGTTTGGGCTAATGAGAATGACATTAAATTTAGAAAGGGAACATTTAGAAAAACAATATTAAACAAGGGAAAAACAAATTTTACATAAATTATAAATGTAAAGAAACACTAAATGTGTATGAAAAAAGAAAAATATTTAAATAGAGGAAGACTGAAGAAAAATTTACTTGGATACTAAAAAAGATCCTTCCCTCTCATTCTTTTGTAATAAAGAGAACAAGAGAAGCTCTAGCATGATGCATTCACAAATGACAATTTTAGGAATAATTTTCAAGTCATTTTTTATAGCACATCTTGCTATTATATACATTCAGACATTCTGCCATTTAAATCTTATCTAATGAAACATACCAACTGTGAACAGTTTGTATAAAACCTAGAATTACTTGATTATATCTAAAATTTGTTGGTGGTCTTAGCTTTTGCCCTCTAAAGCTTAGTCATATAAGCACATTTGATCAATTAACACATAGCCAGTTACTCTGGCTTTTCAGAACTGAGCTATATGTGTTGAAACATGACTTTCATCATTGGATTTTTGTAGGCGATTCAAGTAGTTTAGAAAGCCATCTTTTGTCTAGGCCTCTTTTGTTTAGGCCTCTTAAGGCAGTTTATTTGCTAAGTCTGTCACACTCACACACACACACACACACTTTTGTACTCTTTCAAGATACTTAAAACTAGCATATAGAAATGGTTATTTTTCTATAAAAAGGAACATAAAGTGGAATATTACTGAGGTCCTTGCCTATGTGAGATATATTTGAACATAGACCTTAATTTCAAACAGATTTCCTGTATAACAGTGTAAGCTTTGGAATTTTTAACTCTCTATTTCTCTACCACATTCTGGTTCCTAAGAGATATAACACAAAACGCTCTAGTCATACACAGTTTTTATTCCTGGTAAGCAAGTGGGCTTGGATTTTTATTCTTGAATATCTTGGTGAGCTGGAGTAGACAATCTAGAAGGAAATGTGCAGATTGCTTTTTCCTGTGTAGAGTCAACCAAGGTCTGAGTTCCTTGTTTCATCTTCTCACTTGACTAAGTCTCCAGGACCAGAATTGTCCCCAGTGCTAAAGATGTACTTCATTCCCTGCAAACCTCAACAACTTCTAGGACTTTATTCTTCTTTCAAGCTGAAAGGCCTACAGAAGCCCAAAAGGGACACCCATTCCTTGACCCAAAGGAGCAAAAAGGACTCCATAGCCAAGAAGGCTATATCATTAAAACCTACATTCCTCTTGTATAAGCCAGTTGCTATTCATTTGTTAATTCAATTATACAATAAGTAATTTTTGAGCCTCTACTCTGTGATAAGCATTAATATCTAGTGAAGATACTGAGGTATAGTAAAGGGCTTCAACAAGGGACTTACAGCCTGGGCAGGGAGATAGGCAAGTCAAGGCATAATTATTTATAAATAGAATAAGTGCTTTGATTAAGATGAAAATGGAAAGGCCACCTCGGCCTTGGGAGTCAAGAATGACTTCAAGCTGAAACCAAAAAATGGGGAAATTGGCCAAGTGAATGTTTAGACGAGTGGGGTCAGGGCAGGCGATTCACCATACTTCCTGCCGCCCTTCCCTCTATGCGGTCACTCTGCCCCACCCCTCACACCTTATAATGGTCTTATAATTGAGATCTTAGGTTAGTCGATACAGTCCTTTATGCTTTCCATGATCTCTCCTTGAGAAGGTTAGGATTATTGAGGTGAGATGTGCTATGACTAAGAGCCAGCAAATACAGCCTGAGTCAAATATAAAACTCATTCTCGCCTAGGACTCACAGCCTCAGATTGAATGGGGACCTATTCAGTTAGCATTTCTCCTTCCTTTTTCGAACAAAGATTGACTTCTTACTCATCGGATAACTACAAACTACTTTCGATGGGTGAAGGATAAATGAATAATTCGTGAATTATGTTTTTCTTTAAAACACTCATGGTCACATTTCGAAAGTAAAAGTTTAGCAAAGCAATCATTATTGGATCTGGAGTGCTGACAAATATTCAGACTGAATGAAACTAAGACTTAGCCAGTTGCATCCAGCCTCGGCAGGCTTGTTTGTGGCAAAATAAACTTTGCTGCTAACACCAAGAACAGGAAACCTGGAATAAGGCCTTTTCTTTTCTTTTCCTTGCTTTTCTTTCTTTCTTTCTTTCTTTCTCTCTCTCTCTCTCTCTCTCTCTCTCTCTCTCTCTCTCTCTCTCTCTCTCTCTCTCTCTCTCTCTCTCTCTCTCTCTCTCTCTCTCTCTCTCTCTCTCTCTCTCTCTCTCTCTCTCTCTCTCTCTCTCTCTCTCTCTCTCTCTCTCTCTCTCTCTCTCTCTCTCTCTCTCTCTCTCTCTCTCTCTCTCTCTCTCTCTTCTTTCTTTCTTTATCATGCCTTCTTAGACATTGAAAAGCTCAAATTTCATGCTGTGGCCAATAGCTCTTAAAGTTTTTAGCAGGGAAAAGAGCTCTAGCCATTTCAACCTTGTGGTTTATAACATCACCAAACAAAACTTTCTAGAAAAATACAGCCTCAAGTCAGCTCCCTTGGAAATCTGTCTGTGAGGCAGGCCACTTACCCTCAGAAGAGCTGTTTTTACAAAATATCCACAATATGGAAACCAGGGATATTTAAAATGGGATCCAAATATATGATTTCATTGATATAAAAATCTTGCCTTTCAAAGAATTTGTTCAATACCTTTCCAACTGAAAGACAACTGGACATTTGTTTTTTGGCTAAATCTCTAGCACATTGTTTAAGTTTGTTTTTTAATGAAACATCTTTATTTTTTTTAGAATATCTTTAGTTAAGAAAAAATAAATCTATGTATTTTGTGTTTGTCAAGGGTTCTAATAAATCATAATATAAATAGTAAATTTAGTTCATTCCTAGCATACTATAGGAAATAGAACTGATCCAAAAGTAATTTTATATGGATTAAGATAGTACCTCATTTATTATATCCTTCAGCAAGGCTTAACTGGAAGTAGCACATTCACAATCATTATGAATTTGTGTCCACAGTTCGAACAGTGCCAGTTAAAAAATAGTGAACTTATGGGGCTTTGCATTTTATTCTTTCTTAAGATAACTGTCATGTTTTTGCTTTTTTCTCAAATTGGAAAATAAGAGAAATCATACATATTTTTTAAGGAGAAAAAAATTAGCTAACTGAGGCATATAGGTTACTGCTATAAGACATGATCAGTCATCAAATGATCTCTATTAGTTTTCTTTCACCGTTTTTTTTTTTTAAGCCTACATCTCACATGAGGAAAAAATAAAAATGCTGGATCTTAGCTACATATAAGTATTGTTCTACATAATATTCAGGAAAACGTTATTTCAGTTTAGGTATGTGGTATGATGTAATAAAGTATTCTTGGGTTATAATGCATTTGTTGAAAGTCAAATTGTACTGTTACCAACCAGCAACATATTTATTTAGTTTGCTACCAATGATAAATGGAAAGAAGCATCAATTTTTATCTTAACAGGGAGAGCCAGGATCTCCAGGAATCCCAGGAGTTGATGGAGAGCAGGTAATTTTCAGAGATATATGCTGTCATTTAAAGCATCATTATTGATTACTACTTTTATTATAGGTTTGAAGCCAAAAAGGTATGAGTGTTGATATATGATATCCTCTCTTTTTTTTCACCATCTGTTCTGGAGACTACATTAACTCTAAAAAGCAATTGGTCTTAAATTAGACAGTTTTTTTTTTTCTGCAGAAATGTACAAGCTATATGATGCTTTAGTTTTGTCTTAATACTCCTTATCAATCTACAAGTGATACCTTTGTATCAGAAAAATACAAAGAAAAATCATTACCAATTTAGTAAGAATAGCCTAATTTTTGTCAGTGATACATATAATTCAAGGTGAAAAACAATGACCATAGTTTCTGCAAAATTAGACATTGCTTATATGTGTTATTTCGACAATGTTTTCTTTTCCCAAATAAAGATTACACCTAATTTTCTAGATGATTAGAAAAGACAGAAACAAGCAGGACATTTGCAGATTTGCAGAATATGGCACTTTCTCCAAGTGTTTCCCCTAAAACAGAGGTTGGCAAACTTTTTCTATAAAGAGCCAGATAGTAAATGTTTTAGGCTTTGCAGGTCGCATACAGTCTCTGTTGCATGTCCTTTTTTTTTTAACAGCCTTAAAATTTTTTAAAAACATTCAGCCTGTGCAAAAACAAGTTCTGGGCTGAATTTAGCCCATAAGCCAAAAAGAATCTGGCCAGTATTCAAAATTTAGAATCAAATCACAGGGTTAGTTTCAAGCTATTTGATATTTACTCTGCTTCCATTATTTACCAAGAAATGGCTAAAATCAAGTAAATAATAAGAAATCAAGGGGATTTTTGATACAGTTAGTGAAATATACTCCTCAGGAGATAGTACTAGATAAGGAAATTAAGTTTAAGAGATGAATTATTTTAACATCAGAGTTATATGTTGAAATTACATGATGCCACATTAAATAAACGTCTTTAAAAAAGACTTCAGATGATTGCTATATCAATCAGATTACATCAGAATTTTAAAATCTGGTTATATATTACTTTTCCCCTTATTCGTCATTATAAATAATTTGACATGCATAACAACATGAGATGAGAGAAATTTATTTGAACTTTTGTTATTATATCAGGTCTTGGTTCAAAGTGTATTGTACTGTTGAAAATTAAATCCATTAAATTGTTTTTAGGACTGGTGATATAGAATTAGCTGCCAGGTAAAAATATGGTAACAATGATGTCAACACCTAAATTCATGTTCTTCATATTTAAATGGCCTAAGTGATAGAATTAAATTCCTTCTATTGTACAAAGAAATGGTATTGGTTCAATGTAGAAGACTGAAATAAGAAATAACTCTACCTAAAAATGAAAATCAGGATCATCTCCACATAGCACCCACCCTTTGACAAAATCGATCTGGAATTCTATTTTCCCTAGGAAATGACAATCAAGGGTCCAAACGATTCTTACATGCAAACCATATTATTTGTAGGGACTCAAAGGCTCAAAGGGAGATGTGGGGGACCCAGGTGTGCCAGGTGAAAAAGGAGGAATCGGATTACCTGGATTACCGGTATGTTTGTACTTTGTATGATGTGCTCATATTAAGATAAATAATCGAAAAAAGTTATATTATTAGATGCAGTCTCATATAATGGTTCATATAATATTTTTGTTTTTAAATAGTTGAGGTATTATTGGTTAATTACTACAACTGGGTCTGTAAAACAAATTTTAAAGTATCTAAACAAATGAGTTATCAAATAAATCTTATTTTTCTGAATTATTTTCACTAGAAGGTAGTAAAATAAAATCAGTCACTTTAATTTAGTCTGCATAAGATGGTGATAACTGATCATTTAAAAATAAACTATAATAAAAAAGAAACCAAAAAATGTAAAACAACTAAAAAACAAATTACTCTGAAAAGTGTTCTCTTTATATATATGATAGTATGGGATGGTATTTTTATGGTTTTCCCCCATAATTTTTACTGAGAATTGGGTAGGAAAATTGTATAAAAATGTAGGATAAAAATGTAGACAACCTTAAAGCCCATAATCTTTTTTAAAACTAGGAAGTGCATAAATAAATATCAGTGACAACGTCATTAGAAGACTTGCCTCTGCCTTTTAAAGTGAGCACCACCATAAAGAATATAACATTTATAACCTGGTGTATTCAGAAGTTTAACCAGTCAAGCCTAACTTAGTTTGTGTTTACTTTATGTTTAATTTCATATATCACCCACAATTCTAGGGATTTGGGATAGCTTGCTGTTTGAGGCTGAAATACAAGGGGATAAATCCTTTTTTTTTTTAATTAAAAAATTTTTTTAAAAATCTCAAGAGGATGGTGGGTTTGAGGAGAAAATTCAGCTGTTTCTTACGCTTCAGAAATAACTTGTCCAGCTCAACTCTCTTAATGGTTATTTGTAGGGTGCCAACGGGATGAAGGGGGAAAAAGGAGACTCCGGATTGCCAGGTCCTCAGGGCCCTTCTGTAAGTTCACGAGGGCTGATTTTCCACGGTTCCTGAAAAACTCAGAAATGGGCCTATTATTCATCTAGTTCAACCTGTGTCAGATGGCTTATCAGCAGTGGAAAGACCATGAACCTCTTGGTTTGTCAAACTGTAAAAGAAATATCTGTTGGCCTTGTACAATGAGAGAAAAAATATCTCAGAGGTCTCAGTTAGAAGCAGTTTTTCAAAGGACTGTCTAATCCTGGGGAGAAAATCAATGGTTTTCCCACAATGCTTGCGGGTAGAGTTTTGTGAATATAGAGCATATGTTCTTATTTTCTTCAGAGCCCTGTTGTTGCTTAGTGAAATATTTGAGAGTTTAATAGTGGTTGTGGCATTATAACGTTTCTTAATAATCAGTTGCTTCCTTTTCTTTTAATGTACTTTTGATTTAATCTGGATTTTATAAAACAACTGTATTTTTTAAAGGTTTTTTTTTTTGTTCTCATGAAAGAATTTCTATACCTAGAGAATCAAACACACCACTTCTTCCAGTATCCTTCTTTTTCTGCAACTATTAATGGCCTTAGCAGAACCCCAGCAGAAGATTCAAGCCAAACTGCCTTATCTAAACGAAGTAACCTAATCCATGTTTATTTTTTGGACATACAGATCATCGGCCCACCAGGCCCTCCAGGTCCCCATGGCCCACCAGGCCCCATGGTAAGTCTCTCTTCTCTCCAAAATGTAACCATTTATTTATGAGCATGCTACTAGAGAAAACATGAACACATTCCTCAAAATAGCCAGCTTGTATTTTGTGCTACTCTCTGTGGAATGGACAGAAAATACGAGGTGCTTTGAGATATACTGACTTTAGAGTATTGTCTTTCACTCCCCCAAACACATCTGTTGGAAAGAGATAGTTTTGTGATAGGAAAGTTGAAGACAGATAGATTAAGTAAGCTTCACTCCAGCCTTGTGACATGAGCATCAGAAATTCATTTTAACCAATCACTATTCTAGGCCAGTAGTAGCAAAATAAGATTAATAAGTGTAGCCATTAATGAATGTTTCTAAATAGCTCTGAGAATTAAGATCCTTTAGTAAAATATTCAATAAGAACATTTTTATAAAGTAATATGATAAAAATTGAAGCTCGCTTCCACAGACGACATACATTGTTGGATCTTTTCTTTTGCACTCTTGTGGTACTTTGGCAGGTAAGCATCCACTGCAGGTATCCGTCAGAGACCAGTGAAGACAATGACCACACCCTCACAGAACTCATGTCCAGTGAGGAAGGCAGCCATTAAACCAAAGTAATTCTCCATATGTCTACCTAATGACAGTTATGTTAAGGCTAGAACATGAAAGGCAGAATGCTTCCAAAGATTTGAGTGGGGCAGGATGGAGACAAGTTCTGCAGCCTCTAAAATCACATTCATGTCTAAGATGTCTCAATAAACC